GCCCAAGGTCACCCAGCTGGCTTCATATCTGAAGCAGAATTGGACTTATAATTTCCAAGTTTCTAGCCCTGGTGCCTTTAACCACTCCACCAAATTGGCTCTCCTGCCTTGAGCACTGTATCCAATTCTGGGCATCACACTTCAGAGGTTTAGAGAAACTAGAAAAGGTCAGAGAGAGGCAACCAAGGTTATCAGGCGACAAAGTACTAAGTACTATAAAAAAAGATTGAAGGAGCTAGGGCATGATAGCACTCTTCAAATACCAATGTCACATAGAGGAAGGCGAAGGCCTGTTCTCTATCATTCCAGAGTGGGGGGCATAGAATAATGGAATAGGGTATGAGTTAATATTAAAAAAAAGCAGTAAAAGGGATTTGACAATAGAGCCAATTAGTTAAGAACCAGTGGGCTGCCCTTCACCAGTTAGTACCTGTGGTTAGATAACCATCAGTTGGAAAGGCTTTGGATTCCTGCACAGAGCAGGAGGTTAGATTTGATGGTCCAAATGCTCAAATCTGTCATCCTATGATTCGTCTTTATACTGAAAAGGAGCTGACATGCTCTTCAACAATTTCTGTTCTTTAAAGAAGAAATGAAAGAGAAGGAAGGAGAAGAACACTGTAGTCCTGCCAGTTCCATGGTGGCTTCTCCTGTTCAGGTATAAACATTTTATGCATTTTCAGTACTCGGATTTTTAAAACAGATCAGTGCTGTCATTTGTTTCTTGATTCGCATCCACAATGCTTTTCAACCCTACTATTATTCTCCTGGTGACCAGAAAACCACTCGGTTATCATTTGAACTTGGATCTCCTGTTTTAGTCTCATTAACACAACATTCTAAAATGGACGAATTCATGTGTGAATGGGTGTTTAGACCAAGAAAAGAGAAAAAAGGAGGAAAGTCCTGTGTACTTTTTAATACAGTACTTTCCATCATTTGTGTGGCAAGGATTGCAGGCAGTGGAACTGCCAGTACTGATCTCTGCTGTTCATGGGTAGCTTTCAAGGTTTGGCCCTGAGCGGCCCTCTCTCTAGGACAAACAAGATGCCTCTTCCTATGGAATCAGACCTTCCCTTCAGGTTCAATCCCTGGTGCCTGTTTCATTCATGCCCTTGTAATAAACCTGTTTGCTGGCCTGCTTGTCTCCCCCTCTCCCTTTTTATTCACACAAAGCTCTAAGGAAGTCTCTGCAATCCTGGGACTTTGCATAAGGCGAAGGCATTCCTGTTTGTGAGTGTGTATAAATATGGCCCAGGTACTCCAAATGCTTCATTTTCTATTGCAGACCCTTTTCTGCATTTGCAGAATCAGGACACTGAAGCTCTGAAGAAGTCCTGCTGTGAACAAGGCTCCCACCCATTTTCCTTGTTGTCAGCAGGGAGCTGAGAAGGCAACTCCAGGCTCTTACTGGAGATACATCTTGTGGGGGGGGGGAGGGGGGAGGGGAATGCAGGGAGGAGGATTAAGCAACACCCAGATTAATGTATAACTGACCGGCAAGGTGTGGCTGGCAGCAGGAGGGAACACGCAAGGCTTCCAGAGCTGAAATGGATCCCTACAAGTGACAGGTTTGTTCAATCGAGTTCTGGGGAGAAAGGAAGGAGGGAGGCAGACAGAGGGTAAGCCTGTGCGAGGTCCTGAAGTTCTGCACCAGCAAGGCATCTTGATGGGGAGGGAAAGGAAAGATGCAAAATCTACCCCAGGCCAAGGCTTTGAACTGGGTATCAGACACATATTCCATATTCCATTTTCTAAAAATCCTTGATGAATTGGAAGAGGCAGACAGACACACAGCTCACCCACCCCATCAAACATGAACATCAACACAGATGTCTGTGGTTTCCTTGTCTGTCTTTGTAGCTGAGTGGCTCTGAAACTGTCAGTCTGTTTTGGCAAGTATTCCTCAGATGCCTGTAAAAGTGTATTTCATGGGAATGTATGCTGAAGCTTTATTAGCTGCAAAGCTCACCCGGTAATCTTTCTTTAAAACCAGACATCTACTCTAAAATAACCGAAGCAGATAGAAAAACAGCTCTGAGAATGTGCAGAGTGCCTGCCAGTTCTCATTGGACTGTTTAGAATCAGCTAAGTCAGCAGCTGTACATTTGGAATAAAAGGCTAACATTTCCCTGGCTTTGGTGTTTTTAGGACTCACAATCTTTAGCTCTTGAGCCTGGCTGTGCATTTTCAAAAGGACAGACGAGGCATCTGCTTGATTTTTGGTCATGCTTTTTATCCTTCCCTTTTGTGAAGAATTTGTTCTCAAGCTGCTGGCTGCATTATCAAGTTGCAGGATTGTCAGTCATTTTTGCACAAATGTGAAAGTAGCCAGGTGAAAAGAAAACCACCATGTTAAACATTTCCACCCACCTCCAGCTGAACCAATGGCCAGAGAAGCAGCTTATCTGCAATTGCACATATAATGGCAATGTTTTTATGGACTAGTGTGCAGTAAATGAGGCACTGATTCTTTTCCTTGCCACATTGCAGGTCTGCCCTTTTCAGACTGTACATGCCATATACAGAGCATGGCACAAACTCTGTGGGGAGTGCCCAGACTAATGAAGCTAAGCATGTTCAGAGAGTCTAAGGACAGGGCCCACAACGCTTTAGTGCCTGAAGCAGAGGTGAAAATGTTATCTTCTTCCAACCCTATGGAACCCCATTTATTGTAACACATGGGGCAGAACATTTCTCAAGCTCTTTTTCCGGTCTCTGACAGTGGAATCCCATTATAGTGAATGAAAGCACAAGCTGTTTTTTGCTTCTTCATGACACTCACTACCTGCTGAGACAGCCACCTTATTCTGCCTGTCCACCATATGATTGACTAGTTGGAAACTGTCTTCCAGCCCTCCAGCTCCCTTTAACCCAATGGCTGGGAAATGACAGCACATTTTGCGCCAGGAAGCATGTAAAAAGTATACTGTAACCCCTTTAGTGGGCATATTGTTTAAAAAAAAAAAAACAACTGAAGAAATCCCCACAAATTGTCAAAACCAGCACATCTACATATGATGCAGCTTTACACATTTTGTGGCCATCAGCCACCCCAAAAATATTAAATGCAGTCCTAAGCCACCACCTCTGGCCTAAAAGGATGTTTGCATTTGTTTTCTTAGGAGAACTGTTGCTGGAACTTAACTGAGCAACCTTGTTCTTTCCTAAACCCAGATCTCAGGAAGATGTGACTTGAAGTCTCTTTGGGTTGCTCGCTGAGCGTTAAGGAAAAGTGCTTCTCCCAAGCTCATTGCTTTCTCTTTTGCTACCCAAGATGCAGCCAGGGCTGGGTTTCAGGGTCTAAGGCAGTGTTTCTCAACCTTGGGAACCAAGAGGTGTGGACTTCAATTCCTAGAATTCCCCAGCCAGCCATGGAATTCTGGGAGTTGAAGTCTGCACCTCTTAAAATTCCCAAGGTTGAGAAACATTGGTCTAAGGAGTTGGCCTGACAGCCAAGGAGAGCTCCAGAGGACCCCTGGGAGAACAGATGATCAAGAGGCAGCAGCAAACAATCCGAATGGCATTAATTGTGGTACACAAATTATGTTAGAGTTTAGGAGTCTGTCTCTGTCTCTCTCCTTCTGCAGGCTTTTTCCAGCCTTATATTCTTTGTGTAGTTGGCTCTAGGGTTTAAATTGTTGAGCTAAGGCTTATTACTGTTTTATATTGCTATGTTTTATAAGCCAGTCAGAGCCATGTGGAATTGGATAGCAAATATACTGGTTAAATTTAACCGCATCTAAAGCGGCTCATCACAGCCTTCTTCCTCCTCTTCTCTTTTGGACGCTTTGTGAAGGGACAAGTGGCTGAGTTTTAGATTCCAGGTGACCAAATTATATTTATTTCAGAAAGAAACTGTTTATTTTCAAGTAAAACAATGATAGTTTAAGGTGGAAGGAGACACTTTAAGACCATTATGCCCAGGGTCTAAAATCATCTGCCTGCACCCTGGCTCCTACTTCTCATGATTTGTTGTTGTTGTTGAGTTATTAAAGCGCCTCGTTTAAGCCCAGCCTTGTGATATTGGAACCGAGCTTCTCTGGACGGTTGAGGGGAAGGAAACTCTCCAGACTGAGCGCGCTGGTCTGGTTCCTCGTGCGGGACCAGAAGGCGAGGCTGGTGGCCGCTCGCTTCGGCCTTGTTAGCACGCAAGGGCGAGTGTGGCCCGGGCAGTGGAGCCCCGATTCCCGGCTGCTCCTCGTGGCGGGTTTCCGCCACTGCGGGCGCCGCAGCTGCTACCCACCAACTTCCCGAGAGCGACAAGCCGTCTGCAAAATATGGAGATCTATTCAAATGTGGCTGCTGATCCCACCCTCCACAGACAGGGGTGTCTCCTGGGTCGGCTGCGTCACGCGCCTTTTTGGGCAGCCGTTGAAAGGGTTGTTTGCTGCGTTCACACAATATTCTTGATCCCGTGGGACAAAGACCTAGAGACTACGTTTGCATAACATTCTAATGGTTAGGGTTAACCATGGTTAGATTTGGGGGGAGTGACAGCGTATTGTGGTTACTTCACGAGCCAGTGTATTATGTGAACCCAGGCAAAGGAATTATTCAGTAACCAAATTAAGCGTATTGTGTGAACGCAGTGGCTACCATTTGGTTTCTCTTTCGACTTCCAGGAGACGTAGCAAAGTGGCTGGGCCTTGCCCCAACTGACCTGCGCCCCTTGACACCCTTCTCACCTCCGGAAGGAGCCCCCGGGGGCCGAACACCTACGTCTCCCCCCCCAGACCCACTTGGCGCGTTAGTCCTCAGGGAAGCCCTCGCCGCGCACTGTGGGAAAAGCCTGCGAGTGCCCGACCTGCATAGGAGCCTGCCGGTTGCCTAGTAACACGTTGGCATCAGGAATGGCGCTGGCGGTGGAGCGCCGAGGGCAGGGAGCTCGCCGGGCCCGAGCCTCGGCAAAGATGTTGGCACGCCCACCTGCCCCCTCCCCCCACCCACAGACACCGGGGTGACTCACTGCCTCCGCCCTCCCCTCTCCGGCAGGCAGCCCCTCACTCCGCAGTTGGAGCGGCTGGCAGCGCGGAGTGTGGAGGCGCCGCAGCACTTCGCAGCACTTCGGAGCGGAGCTTCAGGTGCCGCCCGGGCGGGCTGGCGGGCCGTGGGGCGCCTCGCGGGGGGATCCCAGAAAGGCGCGAGCGGGGTAGGACCGTGCGGGGCGGGAGGAAG